CAATGTTAGCCAGGCTGGTCTCGAACTGCTGACCTCAGTGATCCTCCCACCTTGCCTCCCAAAGTGCTTGGATTACGGGTGTGAGTCACCGTGCCCGGCCATCCGTAGCTATTTTTAGAGCAGGACGCTGTGACCACAGGCCCCTTGGATGGGATGCCTCTCTTGAGCGTCTGTGGGTGAGGGAGCACGTTCACCAGCCTGTTGAGCTGCAGCTATAAAACAGGGAAGAAGCATTCCAGGACGCATTCTTAGTTTAAAGGTTTCCGTGTCTTTTCTACGTGGCCTCCAATTGGAAGAAGGCTCCAGATGGGATGGGAGCTGGGGAAGAGGGGACGCCAGGGCTTTTGGGAAAAGACAGCCCACCGGCTCTAACTGTCAACATCTCAGGCATCCCACCTGGCAATGAGAGAGTTGATGGACATGAGAGGCTATTTCCTCTGGGGTAAGGGAGAAAGAGGCGAATTGGCCCTGAGTCAGGGTCTGTCTGAAATGCTATGTGTGAGCTGCTCTGGCCTGAGCCGGCCTCTAGTTCCCGGACGGCTCCAGCCTGTCAGGAGCCTTGATGGCTGCAGGAGCTCAGGGGCTGTGTGCACCTCCAATCTGGAGCCATTTTCTCAATATGTGACAGAGATGGGTAAAGGAGATACAGATGGGGGAATGGGTAAATGGCATTCTGTGACTTTGGGTGTTTCCTGTGGACCCAGCCTACTGTCTGTCCTTGGCCCACAGGGTCTGAGGGAAGCCATGGTGCCGGGCTGTGACATTTGGGATGGGGAGAGGGATCGTCCAAGGAGTCATGCTGCCTTGGCCAGGCCAGAAAGGGCAGGCCGTGAGGGTGTCTCTCTTCCACTAAGGACGCTGGAGCCACGGCACAGGAAGCACGTTCTGGAAGCCCAATAGAGGCGTCTTTTGGCTCAGTGTCTTGTCACGGGCAGCATGTTCTCTGCCAATAACCAGAGAGGATTGGTAGCCGCAATCTACAAGCGCCAGGCACGTAGCAAACTTGCCAAGTGAAAACTGACTCCGTGTGACAGGTGGAGAAGCTGAGGATTCTGGGAAATTCAGTGATGTGGGTGAGGTCACAGAGCAAGTGGTCCAGCAGGACTTGAAATCACTTTCATCTGATTTCAAATTCATGCTCTCATCTTCCCACAGGCCCCAGACCCTTGAGGAGTAGACTGTGACTGTGCAGCCTGTCCCCCTACAGATCACATTTAAATCTCGCTGCGATGGTTAGTATGATATTTTGTAAAGAATCACCCCAAAGCACAGGGCATGGTGGCTCATGCCTGTAATCCCAGCACTTTGAGAGGACGAGGTAGGCAGATTACTTGTGGTCAGGACTTTGAGACCTGCCTGGCCAACATGGTGAAACTGGTCTCTACTAAAAATACAAAAATTAGCTGGGTGTGGTGGTGGGTGCCTGTAATCCCAGCTACTTGGGAGGCTGAGGCAGAAGAATTGCTTAAACCTGGGAAGTGGAGGTTGCAGTGAGCTGAGATCACACCACTATACTCCAGCCTGGGCAACAGAGTGAGACTCCATCTCAAAGAAAAACAAAAAACAAAAAACAAAAAAAAAAAAAACACCCCAAAGCATAGCAGCATGCTCAGGGGTTCTTACGGATCAGAAATTCAGAAAAGGGATGGTGATGGTGGCTTGTCATAATCTCTAGGGCCTCAGCTGGGGGGCTCTAAGGATGGGGGTGACTCCATGGCTGGTGCCAGAATCACTTGAAGACTGATCATTCACACGTTTGTTGTCTGGGAGGCTCAGATGATGACTCAAAGGCAAGGACTCCTGACTGGAGTGCAGACACAGGGCCTCTTCCTGTGACTTGGTCTTCCCTACAACATGGCCGCCTCATGGTAGTCAGACTCGTCATAGGGTGACTCAGGGCTCCAGCACAAAGTCCCAGCAAATAAGGTAGAAGCTCCATGGCTTTTTGTGACCTAACCTCAGAAGTCACATAGTGACACTCTACCCTACTCTCTTGGTCAAAGCAGTCACAAAAGCCTGCCCATTGGCAAGGAATGATGGTATAGATCCCACCTCTCCATGGTCAAATAATTTGTAGGCATTTCTTACAGCAGCCTGGGAATGCTCACGGAGGGTCAGAAAGTGGCCTAAGGTCTCAAATTCAGTGGGTAGGTGTGATGGCTAATATTAAGTGTCAACTTGATTGGATTGAAGGATGCAAAGTATTGTTTCTGGGTGTGTCTGTGAGGGTGTTGGTAGAGGAGATTAACATTTGAGTCGGTGGACTGACAGAAGCAGACCCACCCTTAATCTGGGTGGGTACCATCTAATGAGCTGGCGAGGCCAGAATAAAGCAGAATGAAGAAAGTGGAATAAGAAGACTCACTGAGTCTTCCGGCCTTCATCTTCTGTGCTGGAAGCTTCCTGCTGTCAAACATCAGACTCCAAGTTCTTCAGTTTTGGAAGTCTTTTGAATTTACACCAATGGCTCTTGGGCCTTTGGCCACAGACCGAAGGCAGCACTGTTGGCTTCCTTTTGTTTTTGTTGTTTTTTGTTTTTTGTGTGTTTTTTGAGATACAGTCTCACTCTGTCACCCAGGCTGGAGTGCATTGGTGCTATCTCAGCTCACTGCAACCTCCGCCTCCCGGGTTCAAGCGATTCTCCTGCCTCAGCCTCCCAAGCAGCTGGGATTACAGGCGCCCACCACCATGCCCTGCTAATTTTTGTACTTTTAGTAGAGACAGAGTTTTGCCATGTTGTCCAGGCTGGTCTCGACCTCCTGACCTCAGGTGATTCACTCACTTTGGCCTCCTAAAGCTCTGGGATTACAGGCGGGAGCCACCATGCCTGGCCGAGAAGTGTTCTAAAGCAGGCTGGAGACTGTGATTGTGATGAGTAGGGGAACATGCGATGTGGCCAAAGGCTTGGTGGAAGGAGATTTTGGGAAGCATTTGGAGAACAGCCAAAGTCAGGGTGGTGGCTGGCCAGGGAAGGGGTCAAGGGCCGTGGGGCTGGAGGACAGGGACAGCCTGCTGACCCTGAGGAGTTAGAGGTGAGAGGTTAGGGGTGAGGGTTGAAAGGGGAAGGCATCTCCCCAGCTTGTTCCAGTGTTGTCTGGGGAACAGCTGTCCCCCTGCCAGGCAGCTGGGCTCGTTCCAAGCTCCCTTGCTGGCTTGGCCACTCCCAGAACTTCAGTTACCTCTGGAAACCGGGAGTGCTAAGTATTCTCTGACTCAACCCCAGGCAGACCTGGAATTCCAGTTCCAGAGGATACTTGCTCTCCAGGGTCCCCTGGCTGGGAGCAGAGACCCCTCAGAGTGTCTCTGACTCCAAGAACTGGCCCTGGCCCTGGCCCTGTGGTCAGTTGAGTCAAACAGTGCGACCCAGCCACGACAACTGACTCACTGCGGTGTCACCTGGGTGAAGGGGCTGCAGCTTGGAGAGGCTGGAGTTCTGTCAAGGACTCCATCTACATGGGGTGCAAGCGGGGCAAGAGAAGGCTCTGCCCTCCAAACCCCAGGCCAATAACCCCAAAGCCAACCTCCTTCCAATGGCACTAGGCTTCCCGATGGCAGCCTCAAGGGGTCCCAGCTGCTGGCACTATTTCTCAGATGGGGAAAACTGAGGGTCCCACTGGGGGGTGCAGAACTCACGGCTCCCCCTTCTCAAGGCCACTGCACCCTCACATTTCCCACCCCTCAGGAACGAACGTCTCCCAACCATCTCACCCCGGGGTTTTCACGTCTCTACCAGATTTCTCACCGGTTCTTCCTCCCTCCGGTCATACGAAGGAGGAGGCCAGGGGAGGAAATCCACTCAGACTAATTTGTAAGCCGGTGTGATTCACCAGCGTCGCTTCCCCTCCTCCGGGCAGGCGGCGGGGGGGCTCTCCACTTGCTCAGGCCTGTCCCTGGCCTTCGGGAGCCCCTGCCACGGTCCCTGGCGTGCTGCCTGGAGGCAAGAGCCCTTGCTTGCAGAGGCCTCAGGGCAGCGGGAAGCCAAAGCCAGAGGCAGGAAGCAGGAGTTTTAGGTCTGCTACCCCCTCTGTAAGCCCAGAGCCAGGAGGCACCAGGGCCAGGCTCACAGACCAGGCATGGAAAGCCTGCAGCCTGGCCACTGTCCCGCTGCCCGAGCCTGGAAAGGGGCAGGCACCTGTCGCGGTCACACAGCCTGCTTTCTGCAGCAGGTACAGGCAGCTGGGACTGGAATCCAGGCTCCCGTCCCCAGAGCTGGGTTCTCCTTTCCCCCTGGCCTGCTGAACACCTGTGGAATGTATGGTTTGTCTCCCTGGAGAGGAATGCCAGGACACCAGGAGAGGAGCCCTGTCGGGGAGATTGAGGCACACAGTTTCCTGCTGCAGAAAGCGGGCTGTGCAGCATCGTGGCAGGACCTGGCCCCAGCTCTGGGAGGAGGACTCAGTCACTAGAGCTCAGGGACGTCGCAGTCAGCTGTAGTAGGGGGTGACTGGGAGGGAGCAGGAGGAGGGGAGAGTTTGGATGAGCAGAACCTTTTGGAAGCTTCCTTCTGGAAACACTAGAAAGAGGGGCTCTTGTCCTGGCCCCACCCCTCTCTCTCTCTCTCCTTTTTTTGTTTTACAAATGGGACCTTGATCTGTTGTCCAGGCTGAGTGCCTCCCACCTCAGCCTCCTGAGTAGCTGGGTCTAGAGGCATGTGCCACTGATATAGGAGGGGGGACAGGGAAGTGCTGGGAGGAGAAAGGCAGGGTCCCTGGCGAGGCCTCCACCCTTGGGCCTGTGCCCACGGACCTAGGTGAGGACAGGCACTCATGTTTACATGCCCAAATGTTGCATTTTGCAAGACCACCCTGGCCCACCACACCCTGCCCCCCCCACCCATCCTGTGCCTATGAAAACCCTGAGACCCTAGTGGGTACACACACAGGCGGCTGGACGTCAAGAGGAGCAGAGGATGGGAAGAGCACACCGACAGCACTGGCAGATGCTGGCAGGCCATCGACTGGCTGAATAAAGCAAATGCCCAGGGGAATTTGGCCGGGGATGGTCGGAGGAGAGTCTGGCCGCTGAGCACCTTGAAAATCACCTTCCCACTCCATCCCCCTTCTGGCTCCCCATCATCTGCTGAGAGCTAGTTCCACCACTCAGTAAAACCTCGCACTCATTCTCCAAGCCCACGTGTGATCCAATTTTCACATGCATCAAGGCAAGAATCCCAGGATACAGAAAGCCTTTTGTCCTTGCGATAAGGCAGAGGGTCTAACTGAGCTGATGAACACAAGCCACCCACAGATGGCAAAACTGGAAGAGCATCCTGTAACACACGCCCACGGGGGCTTCAGGAGCTGTAAGCCTCCACCCCTAGATGCTGCCGTGAGGTCGGAGCCCCATAGCCTGCCTGTCTGCATGGTCCCCCTAGAGGTTTGAGCAGTGGGTCATGGAAGAAGCAAGCCACACCCCCATCGCATGCCCTGTGAAGGGGATAAGGGAACTTTTTCGCTTCACCACTATGCCTGAATATTTTTTTAATTAAAAAAATTTTTTTTTTTTGTAGAGACAGAGTTTCACCATGTTGCCTAGGCTCGTCTCAAACTCCTGGCCTCAAGTGATCCTCCCTCCTCGGCCTCCCAAAGTGCTAGGATTACAGGTGTGAGCCACTGTGCCTGGCCTCTGACTCCACTTCTTACCTGCCTTGGGTAACCCATGTGTGCCTCAGTTTCCTCATCCGGAAAATGGGGTATGGACTGAATGTGAGGATACGTGTTTTAAGACATGGCCTGACCTTCTGTGTTGTATAGTAGCTGCTCTTCTTATTATGATGATGATATTCCCTTCCCCCAAGGCAGGGGATCAGCTGTACCCAGGCCTGAAGGCCTGAGGCAAGCTCCAGGGACAGTTAAGCTCTTCAGCCCCTGGGGACCCATGGGCTCACTGCCTGAACCCAGCACTGCCGGCCCTGGCAGCTGATCAGATGTGGCGGGCCCGAGATGGACAGTGGCAGCCTCTGAGGTCGAGCTGGGGCTGCTGGGGCTGCACTAGGCACAGGAGAGGCTTTCCAGGGCAGGTGCGGGCTCTGTTTGGCAGATGTACTAGAGAATTCTTGGGCGGGGCCAGGCCGGGTGGGGATGGATGTGTGTGTGTGAAGCCAGGGTGGAATGGAGGTCTCATTTTTCAGTTCTTCCTCATCAGGGTCACCTCCATTTTTCTTTTTTCCTTTTTTTTAAGAGACAATATCTCACTCTGTTGCCCAGGCTGGAGTGCAGTGGCACAATCATAGATCACTGCAGCCTCAAACTTCTGGCCTCAAGCAATCCTCCTGCCTCAGCCTCCTGGGTAGCTGGGACTACAAGAACACACCACCATGCTCGGCTACTTTTTTTTATATTTTGTAGAGATGGGGGTCTCACTATGTTGCCCAGGCTGGTCTTGAACTCCTGGCCTCAAGCGATCCTTCCACCTTGGCCTCCGAAAGCTCTGGGATTACAGGCGTGAGCCACCACGCCCATCCCATTTTTCTTTTATTTGTCTCTTTGCTTTCTCTGTTCATTGAGCATTTCAGTGCTCTGAGGGGGTCCCCTGGCCTGGGGGTGCGTAATGGGGGTCCTGATAATAGGCATATGGGGAGAAGGAGACCCTGAGGGCCAGGTTGGTGCAGAAACCCTCTCCACAAGCAGACCGGGGGGTGTCACACCCTCCCATTCCTATGAGACCACTGAGCCTCCTAGAGGGTGATGTCCCACCCAGAGTCCCACGGCTCCAGAGGTCCGGCCACACTGCAGTCTGAGTGGGTCCCAGCCAGCATGGCTGACCCCACCCTGGGCAACACTCCCTGACGACTCAAGGCCAAATCTTCCCATTGGGGTTGCCGGCCTCAACTTACTCGCTGTCCTTGGCCAAATGCCCCTTCCTGGGCCTTGGTCCCTTGGCTCTGGAGAAAACAGTTGGCCCAGGGCTCTCGGAGATCCTGGAGGCTTAGGCAGTCCCTGTGGCCGTGGTTTTTACCCACGGATTCCCCCCAACCCCACCCACTCTGAATGGCCCAAGGCAGGTGCCTGGCAGGGAGGCCCCTATCCTGTCCTGGATCACCTTCCACACTGAGCCTGGTGCATGCCAGGGGCCTTGGGAGGACCACTATTTAAGGGCCATCTCTGAGCTATCCCCAGGCCAGCTGCAGCTCCAGGGAGCTCTCCAGACCATGGTAGGCTGGGGTTGTTCTGCCTCTGCCACGGCCACCTTCCTTTCACCTCCACCTCCTCCCTGGGGAGCTCAGGCCTGTGGCTGTTGTGTCTTTGGCTTCAGCACTGCGGTCTCCTCCCTCCCACCCCTGACCCTGACCGTGACCCTGACCTTATCCGCAACTCCTTTTCTTTTTCAGACAGAATCTCACTCTGTCGCCCAGGATGGAGTGCAGTGGCTTGATCTCGGCTCACTGCAACCTCCGCCTCCTGGCCTCAGGTGAGTTTCCTGCCTCAGCCTCCTGAGTAGCTGGGATTACAGGCGCCCACCACCACACCCGGCTATTTTTTTTTTTTTTTTTTTTTTTTTTTTTTTTTTTAGTAGAGATGGGGTTTCACCATGTTGTCCAGGTTGGTCTGAACTCCTGACTTCAAGTGATCCACCCGCCTCAGCCTCCCAAAGTGCTGAGATTACAGGCGTGAGCCTCTGCGCCCAGCCTCATTTCTCAACTTTGACCTCATTCTGTGACCTTGACTCCGTGTGTGATTCTGACCTCCACCTCCTGCCTGAATTCACCCTGCCTCTCACTGACCTTCCTGACCTTGATCTCATGTTGTCCCTGGTCTGACCTCCTCTTCCCTCTTGATGCCGTGCCTGGACCTGCCCCACCTGGGACTCCTCTCCACGTGGGTCCTGATTTGAGTCTCTGCATTCCTGAACTTGGTGGGGACTGCTGGAGAATGAGGAAGAGGAGGGTGTCGAGAGACGGGGTGGGCAGGGCCTGGGGGCTTCACAGGGGCAGTGGCTCTGAGGGCACGGGTCCCCTGGGAGGGCCGGGGGTCAGTGTTCGCGACAGCATGGCACCTCTGGAGCTCTGAGGTCCCCCTGCTCACCTTTGCCTGTGCACCTCATGTGACGTGGGACTTGCCCTGGGCTTCTGCCCCTGGGGACTCCCTGCAGGGTATCAATCTAGCTGTCCCTCTGTGCCTGCGTCTCACCTGCCTCATTAGTTAGTCCCTTTCGGCCCAGAGCTCTGACTCGGCTGTCAGTCTCGGCTTGTCACCTCCTGACTGCCTGAGGGCCTATATGGATTGCCTGTCTCCAGCGGGACTGTGAGCTTCTTGGGGACCAAGATGGGGCCTGATTCAGCCCTGGGTCCCCAGGACTGGGCATGGGCCTGCCTGGAGGTCCGCATGTGTCTAATACATGTCCTGATGCGTTGAGGTCGACATGTTCTTGGTTTTACAAATGGGGAAACAGGCTCAGATAAGACAAGTGAATTTCTTAACATCACAGAGGCTGGGAGCGGCCACGCCAGGCTTTGAACCCGGATGCGGGTGACCCCCTTCTTCCCTGAGATGTTCCTCTCTGGGGAATTGTATTTTATAGGGGCCGTTCTCAAAAGGAATTTTCAAGACAGCTGAGCTGCAAAGACCCGAGGGTTTAGGACTCTATTGCGCAGTAGAGAAAATGACCTCTCCCTCCGTCGTGGAGCTCTGGGACACTGTAGGGTGGGGGTGTAGCCAGGGGGATCATGAGAGCCTGGGACCTTGGGGGGCAGGGACTGAGGACGCCAAGGCCATGGCCAGGTCTGCCAGAGAAAGGGCAGAACCTCCCACAGACGGAAGTGATCATTTTTTATTAATCGGAGGAAATGTATATGTAATTATGTGAGATGAACTCTGCGGGGAAGTTCTTTTCTTTATGATGTCTGAAAGGATTTATAAATATTACAGAGGTTTTACAGCATCATAACGTTCCCGGCCGCCCTGGCAGCCCCCTTTCAAAGGATTAGTAGAGACAAGGCACCCAGTAAAAGCTAATTATAAGTCAGCCGGCACTTCTGCCCCCGTCAGTCGAGGGCTCCTGGGCAGGGGTGGGGACAGCAGTGAGCTGGGGGCAGGGGAGACCACACAGGCGTTGGGGGGTGGGGAGCAGGGGATGAGGGGAATCCTCTGCTCTGGTGGGGGCGGGTAGACAAGGGCTTGGCAGGAGAGGGTGGTACAGGTTGTGATGGAGACAGGAGCTGGCGGTGGGAGCCCATGTCTGTGCCATCCCGTCCACCTCCCCCTCTGGAATCCAGCAATTCTTTTCCCCCATCAAGAGCCCATTCTGGGGCTCACAGCGCCCCTGGGGGTTGTAAGGATGGCTGCCGAGGGACAGGACCCTCGGGGGTCTTGGGGACCTAGGGCATTCAGGAAGTGCCCAATAGTGGACTTCCAGACACCATGACATCACAGAGGCAGGAAGGCTGGCCGGAGACCATCTAACTACTCAACGTGGGTGGCCTCCTGCTTTGCCTGCTACGTAGGTTGGCCCTGAGTTCTGGGCAGCTATTTCCAAGCATCAGCTGATCCCCACTTTGAGCCAGGTTCAGGGTGGGGACAGGAGAGACCAGAGATGGGGCAAAGTGAGTTTTACCCCTGAGATGTCCACTTAGTCGAGGAGACAGACGCACAGAGATATGTCAGGACAGTGTGATACGTGCTGTGGGGGTGACAGTTCACAGTGGAGCGGGGAGGGGAGAATGGCCTGGGGTCGGAGAAGGCTTCTCGGAGGAGGTGACAGGGAGCTGAGCCTACAGGATGGGTAGGAGTCTCTACATAGATTCTCCAGGGAAGGCATTCCAAGCAGGGAATTCCAACAGAGCAAGGCATTCCAGGCAGGGGCAAACGCCGGGAGGGAAGGCAGCTGTGGGACACAGCAGAGGGCCTGGGTGAGAGGGAGTAGCAGCTCCGGGAGGGGGCAAGAGGCAGATCCCGTCGGGGGGGCTAAGAGCTCAGTTGTTCTCTTGAGAACACGAAGAAGGTTTTTAGCAGGTGGTGATAAGGTCAGATTCCAGCTGTAGTGGAGGATGCTGGGGTGGAGATGGGGAGGCTGAAGGAAGAGATGCCCGCCTCTGCTCTGCAGTGCAGGCGCTGGCCGCCCACCTTCCGGAGCCCGGAGGACAGGGCCAGGAAGCAGCTGTCCAGCTCTGTGGGGGTGCACGCCATGCAGGCTTCTTGTCATGGGCTGGGAGAACGTCCTGATTACCTGCAAGGCTTCAGGGGGAGCCTTGTCTGTCTGCTGTGGGCACCGGGGAGGGCAGAGTCATTCTGGACTGCGATGCCCTGGGAGGTGAGACAGGGGGTGGGGGCTGACCCTCGAGGCAGGGGCCGCTGCAAGGCGTTGTCTGGTACCTCGCAGGCACCGAGAAGAGCTCGGAAAAGAGCAGAAGGCACTGCCAGCTCCAACGTCTTCTCCATGTTTGATCAGTCCCAGATCCAGGAGTTTAAAGAGGTCGGTCTGCTGTCCCATGGGGCTGTTGTGAGGATTCTTGGAATGCATGCCAGTTGCTCAAGGAGCTGGGCAGAGGCTCAGTCCTCAGTCTCGGGGGGCTGAAGATGTCATTATTACTATTATTATTATTATTATTTTGTTTGTTTGACAGAGTCTGGCTCTGTCGCCCAGGCTGGAGTGCAATAGCGTGATCTCCGCTCATTGCAACCTCCACCTCACGGGTTCAAGGAATTCTCCTGCCTCAGCCTCCCAAGTAGCTGGGATGCTGGGATTACAGACACGCACCACCACATCCGGCTAATTTTTTGAATTTTTAGTAGAGACAGGGTTTTGCCATGTTGGCCAGGCTGGTCTGGAACTCCTGACCTCAGGTGATCCACCTGCCTCAGCCTCCCAACGTGCTGGAATTACAGACGTGAGCCACCGTGCTCAGTCCATTACTACATTTTTAAATGATCATAGTTTTTTGTTTTTTGTTTGTTTGTTTGTTTTTTTGAGACAGGGTCTTGTTCTGTTACCCAGGCTGGAGTGCAGTATTGCAGTCAGTGCTCGCTGAAACCTCAAATTCCTGGGCTCAAGCGATCCCCACCTCAGTCTCCTGAGTAGCTGAAACTACAGGCATACATCATTATGCCTGGCTAACTTTTTAATATTTTGTAGAGACAGAGTCTCATTATTTTGCCCAGGCTTGTCTCAAACTCCTGGCCTCAAGCAATCCTCCTGCCTCTGCCTACCAAAGTGCTGGGATTGCAGGCATGAGCCACCATGCCTGGCCAATGGCATTATTTTTTCAGGACACCATGGCCATGGCCCAGAGCCTGGATGTGTGACCTGTTGCCCTTGGGCAGCCTCTTCCTCTCTCTGTACCTGACCCTGTGCTTGCTGTGTGACCTGGGGCCAGGCTTTTTTCTCTCTCTGCACCTCAGTTTCCCTCTCTGTAAACTGGAGTTGCTGTGAGCCTGAAATGAGGGGTTGAGGATGGAGCACATCCCAGCTGGGCTGCCAGGCGGACCTGCCCTGAGGCTCCTTGGGCAGCAGTCAGCAGGAGGATGGTCCTTGCCGGGGACTGGAAGGGTGGGTGGCCACTCAGCACCTGTGTCTCTGCCAGGCTTTCACCATCATGGACCAGAACCGCGATGGCTTCATCGACAAAGAGGACTTGAGGGACACCTTTGCCGCACTGGGTGGGTGAGCCAGCAGCCGGCGGAGCTTAGGGCCGGGCCATCCGGAGAGAGTGGGCAGCTGGGGCCAGCGGGGCAGCGCTCGCGGTGGGCGTGAGAGGCTCCTGTGCTGGGGAGCGCAGGGGAAACGCAGCCGCTGCCTGGAAAGTCAGGAGACCTTCCTGGGGGGTTGGAGAAGGACTCGGCCAGGGAAGGGGAGGACACTCCAGGGACAGGAGTAGCAGCATGGGCCTGGGGCTGGTGTAGGTGGCCCTGGGTGTGGGGAGGGGCCAGGAGAGCAGGGGAGAAGCTGATTCGGAGGGAAAGACCCAACTCCCAGGTTAAGGTTTCTGCCCCCTCTAAGGCCCCAGGGAAGAGCCTGAAGTTGCCTATGCGGGGTTTAGGTGGCGGAACGGACGTAACAAGGCCCTGAGCCCCTGGGAATCTGAGTGTCCCCTGGAACCACGGGGAATCCCGGCATCCAGGCATCCACTGATCCCCTCCTGGGGCACAGGAATCCTGAGCCTGCAGCCCCTGTGCACCTCAGCTGCAGCTTCTTGGGCCTCAGTTTCTTCACCTGTAAAATGGGGATGAGAGTGACTTGCTCCCCTTCTCATGAGGCTGGGGGCAGCTGGAAGCTGACTGTGGCCCAAATGTCCCCCAAAGAGTCCCCCAACGAGGGGGCAGGGCCTTAGGGCTGAGTGGGGGACATGTGGGACGGCTGGGTGGGGAGGCTCTGTGGGACCCTCCAAGGCTCAAGCTCTGTTCTCTCTTATCCTCCCGGGCGGCCCCACCTCTCACCTCCCACAGGCCGCATCAATGTCAAGAACGAGGAACTGGAGGCCATGGTGAAGGAGGCCCCCGGACCCATCAACTTCACGGTGTTCCTGACAATGTTTGGGGAGAAGCTGAAGGGTAAGCCAGGCTGCTAGAGTCCTGGGGGACGGCGGGGAATGGCAGGGGGATGTGTGTATGAAGGGGGTGCCCTGACACACACACACCACAGGTGGGAGCATGATGTGGCCCCAGACACCAGCCCCCGGGTGCACGCACCTTCAGGGGCCCTGCCTCAGTTTCCCTCTCTTCACCACAGACTGGGGTAACCGTAAAGACTCCTGCTTTGGCCAGGCATGGTGGCTCATGCCTGTAATCCCAACACTTTGGGAGGCTGAGGCGGGCGGTTTGCTTGAGTCCAGGAGTTTGAGACCAGCCTGGGTGATATAATGAAACTTCATCTCTACTAATACAAAAATTAGCCAGGCATGGTGACACATACCTGTAGTCCCAGCTATTTTGGAGGCTGAGGTGGGAGGATCGCTTGACCCTGAGAGGTGAAGGTTGCAGTGAGCCGAGATCACACCACTGCACTCCAGCCTGGGTGACAGAGCAAGACCCTGTCTCAACAACAACTAAACCCTGCCTTTAACCCCTTCGCCCACCATCAGGACAGTGCTCCCCATCCCACTGCCCCCAGCCATGCTGCTCCCCTATCTTCCTACCTGTGGGCTCCTTTTGCCCGCTCTGCACATGGGGCTGGGGGGACAGGCAGAGGATGCCGGAGGGAAGGTGTTTCCGAAAGATGCTGTGGTCGACCCCCCTGCAGAGCGAGTTACTCCCCTTGTCTTTTTCTGTGGCCACTGGAGCCCCCAGAGGAAGGATCAGGGAGCCTCATTCACAAATGAAGAGACTCAGATCCAGAGAAGTCACGAACCCTGCCCCAGATGCCCCAGCAAAAAGTGGCCGGGATGGAACCTCAACCCCAAACCCTGGCTCTAACCACTGTACCCACTCGAGACACAGCATTAGGCGTGGGGTGGAGGGTTGGGGCCATCTGTGTCCCCTTTCTGTCCTGGCCCTGGGGGAGCTCTCTCATAGGGACATCCCAGAGCTTGAGAGTTCCATGGTTAGAAGGAAGGGCCAAGGCCGGCCGTGGTGGCTCATGCCTGTAATCCCAGCACTCTGGGAGGCCGAGTGGGTGGGTCACCTGAGGTCAGGAGTTCGAGACCAGCCTGACCAACATGGCGAAACCCTGACTCTACTAAAAATACAAAAATTAACTGGGCATGGTAGTGGGTGCCTGTAATCCCAGCTGCTTGGGAGGCTGAGGCAGGAGAATTGCTTGAACCCGGGAGGCAGAGGTTGCAGTGAGTCGAGATTGGGCCACTGTACTCCAGCCTGGTAACAGAGCCAGACTCCATCTCAAAAAAAAAAAAAAAAAAAAAAGGAAGAGCCAGCTGGGGCAGTGGTCCCTGGGAGGTGGGCACTGTCAGCCCCCCACCCTCAGGCTGCCCCTGCCAGGCCTCCTCCCTTGGACCCCCTGCCTTGGCTAGGCCTAGGGTCAGGCCCTGGCTTCCCATTGACTCCTAGGTTGACCTTGCACAGATTTATCTGCTTTCGGGCCTCAGTTTTTTGGTCTGTAAAATGGGCTTATAATAGTTTCCTGAGCCCGCTGTAACAAATTCTGTGAAACCGGGTGGCTCGAAACAACAGACATGTATTCTCTCACAGTCCTGGAGACTAGAAGTGCAAAATCTGGCAGAGGATTTGGGGAGAATCCATTCCTTGCCTCCCCAGCTTCTGGTGGCTCTACCTCTCTCATCTCTGCTTCGTTGTCAATGGTCCCGTCCTCTTCTATCTAACCTCCCTCCACCTGCCTCTTTGTTTCATTTTGTTTTGTTTTTGAGACGGAGTCTCACTCTGTTGCCCAGGCTGGAGTGCAATGGTGCAATCTCAGCTCACGGCAACCTCCACCTCCAAGGTTCAAGTGATTCTCATGCTTCAGCCTCCCAAGAAGCTGGGATTACAGGCACCCGCCACCATGCCTGGCTAATTTTTTTTTTTTTTGTATTTTTAGTAGAGACGGGGTCTCACCACATTGGCCAGGCTGGTCTCGAACTCCTGACCTCAAGTGATCTGCCCATATCGGCCTCCCAAACTGCTGGGATTACAGGCATGAGCCCCAGCGCCCGGACTCTACCTGCTGTTGGATTTAGGTCCTACCTGGATAATCTAAGATGATCTCTGCATCTCAAGATGCTTAACTTACATCTGCAAAGTCCTTTTTTCCAAATAAGGTGACATTTACAGGCTCTGGTGGACATATCTTTTTCTTTTCTTTTTTTTTTTTTTTTGAGACGGAGTCTCGCTCTGTCACCCAGGCTGGAGTGCAGTGGTGTGATCTTGGCTCACTGCAAGCTCTGCCTCCCGGGTTCATGCCATTCTCCTATCTCAGCCTCCCAAGTAACTGGGACAGGTGCCCACCACCACGCCCGGCTAATTTTTCTGTATTTTTAGGGGAGACAGAGTTTCACTGTGTTAGCCAGGAAGGTCTCGATCCCCCGACCTCGTGATCCACCCACCTCGGCCTCCCAAAGTGCTGGGATTACAGGTGTGAGCCACCGCACCCGGCTTCTGGTGGATATACCTTTTTAGGGGCCACCATTCAGTCCACCACAGGGTGATCCGACCTGACATCACAGGTTCGATGGGGTGAAAAATCAGTACTCTCATGGGTCGTGACCTGCTGGGGGGTAGAGCAGCCTCCACGCACCGTGTCCCGGCAGATCTAGAGCCAGAAGGAAGGCAGCCATCAGCCTGGGTGCGAGAGATGAGGAAACCCAGGGCTGGGGAGGGCAGGCTCATCCGGAGCAGGCTCTGAACGTGGGGCTGTCTAGCTGAATCAGGAGCATCACTGGGCCCACCTCCGGGCAGCTTGTCGGGGCCTATTTCCAGGACCATGTCTGCCTCCTGGAAGAGCTCAGAAACCCAGGAGGCCAGGAGAGAAGAATGCTCTGTGGGAAAGATATGCGTGACTCTAGCCAGCAACTTCAAAGGAAGCAGACAGGCCTGATTCTTTTATCCAGAGGAACGTCACTGAAGGAGGCCTGTTAAAGGCCGGCGGGAGGGCCTGGGGAAGTGGCCTCTGGTTCTGCCAGAGTGGACGGCCCAGGGCCCGGCCCAGGAGGTGAGGCGGTGAGCACCTGCCACCCCTGGTGCTGGATGTGGGCCAGGGGCCCTGCTGCCAGAGCAGGGGTTTAGAGAGGGCTTCAGGAGTGCTCAGGGGAAGGGGAGGGGACTCTGTCAGCTCACGGTGGGCCCCAAACCTGTTTCGCAGATGGGAAGATGGAGACTAAAAGTTTGTGTTGGTCCATGGTTGAGCTGAAGCTGTGACCCAGGGTCTGGTGTGGGCTGCAGGGCTGCAGCTGTTTCTCATTTTTGCAGGGGCACCGGGACTGGGGCTCCGGCTGAGCCTGTTGTGCAGACGTGGCCAGACTGCGTGAGAGGCCGGTGGGAGGGGACAGGAGCCGGGAGGGCAGGGGGCTGGGGCGGGCGCCACCTCACCCCACTAATTGGGAAGAGGAGACTGTGTCATGAGATTCCCGATGATGGGGGGAGGTAGCCACTCTGTAGCAGATTTTATGAGGTTTGCAGTCTCAGGAATAGAGGTTTTCTCTGTGGAGGAGGGAAGGGAGGACTGCCAGCCATGGCAATAGGCAGTGGCAGGGCTGTGCTGGGTGCCTGAGAGCCTGAGAGCCTGAGCTAAGTCCATGTGCATGATCCGCAGGGGGACAGGCTGGAGCTGGCCACAAACCTGCCCAAGCAGTGAGGCCTCTTCAAAGACGCTGGGAATTTTCAACTAATCAGTGAAACCTGGGAGGCTGTGGCCTCGGAAGCAAATCCCAAGTGGGTGCCTCTGGTCACTCAAGCCTCACCCGCTTGGAGGCACCCCCCAACCCCTGCCTGCTTGGACAGGCTGTGAGGGCCTGGAACCCTGCCCCTGCTGTGCTCTGGGCTGAGCCTCTCTGCTGGGCACACGAACTTCCTGCCACCCTGCCCAGAGGCAGTCCATGGCTCTGCCCTCTAGAAGTTCCCAGGCCAGTGAGGCCAGCATGTGCCAGGCTTTTTCACTCTGTGCCAGTTTCAGAGATGCCTGGAGATTCAGACACTGCCCTACTCCTGGCTAGTTCTTAGTCTGATGTGGGAGGCACACATGGCCCTGACCCAGTCTGATGGAAGAGGCACAGATGGGCTTGATCTGGTCTCATGGGGGAGGAACAGATGGCCCTGACTTAGTCTAATGGTGGAGGAACAAATGAGGCCCTGATCTAATCTGATGGGAGAGGCACAGATGGCTCTGACTCAGTCTGATGGAAGAGGCACAGATGGCCCTGACCCTGTGTAATGGGAGAGGAACAGATGAGGCCCTAATCTGAGGGGAAAGGCACTGATGGCCCTGACCCAGTCTGATGGGGGAGGCACAGATGGCCCTGAGCCAGTATGATGGGGGAGGCACAGATGATCCTGATCCAGTTTGATGGGAGAGGTAGAGCTGACCCTGACCCTGTCTAGTGGTAGAGAAACAGATGAGGCCCTGATCGAATCTGAGGGGAAAGGCACAGATGGCCCTGACCCAGTCTGATGGGGGAGGCACAGATGGCCCTGAGCCAGTATGATGGGGAAGGCACAGATAACCCTGATCCAGTCTGATGGGGGAGGCACAGATGGCCCTGAGCCAGTTTGATGGGAGAAGCACAGATGACCCTGACCCCATCTGATGGGGAGGCATAGATAAGGCCCTGATCTAATCTGATGGAGGAAGCGCAGATGGCCCTGACCCAGTCTGATGGAGGAGGAACAGATGGCACTGACCCAGTCTAATGGGGGAGGCACAGATGGTCCTGACCTAGTGTGATGGTGGAGGAACAAATGGCCCTGACCTAGTCTGATGGGGGAGGCACATGGCCCTGCCTGACCCAATCTGACTGGCAGGAGCACAGGGTGGCAGAAGGAGCAGGGGACTCTGGAGTCCACAGAGGTGGGTTTCAATCGTCCTTTCTCTTATCAGTGGGCTTTGGGCATGTAATGAAACCTCTCTGAGCCTGTTTTCTCTCTGATAAACTAAAACGACCACATCTACTCCATGGGTGCTCTGAGAGCTCCAGGGGATAAAATCTTAAAGCTGCAGGCATAGAGCACTCAGATTTGTTTGCAGCCCTGATTGATACACGTTTGTTAAAACCTTACCATGAATGGCATGTTATCTTAGCTGCTCCTGTGAGGTGGGTGTCAAGCACCATCTCTGTCCCCTTTCACCAATGACACAGTTGAGCACTGAAGAAAGGAAGGGGGCACCCTCGCGTCCACAGTGAACAAGGGGGACACGGTGACAGAGGGGGAAAGAGCACCAGGCAAGGGTGGCCAGGTCACCTGCTATCATTCACGCAGCCTGTGAAGCCTTGGGCAAGACCCTTCCTCTCTGTGGGCTTCCGTTTCCCACTGGTGCAATGCGGGGGCTGCACATTCAATCCCATTGTGGGTATCAGATTTGTTTCTTCTAATGACATCTCTCCCCAAGACTATGCTGTGAACGTGATAAAAGCAGAACTTCTCTGGCTTCACTTCTGCCCCCCGAGCCCCTTCCCTTGGCCCGTGGGCCCACCTAACCCCACTTCTGGCCAGGACAATCTCTCAGACCCCTCCAATGCCACTGCCCAAGCCCCAGCCTTTTGGCATCCATGTACAGAACTCTTTTTCTTCCACCCACGACGTCTTGTGCACAGCCTGGGTAACGCGTGAGCCCCAGAGTCATGCCCCCCTCCTTCACTAGTCATGCAGCAGACTCAGCTGTGAGACCCTGGACAAGTCACTTAACTTCTCTGGGTCTCAGCTTTTCCATCTGTAAAATAGGGAAGGGTTAAGCACAAAGTAAATGCTCAATCAGGGTCTCCATGTACAGTTGCACACGTTGTTCACAAAAATATATATGCGGTGCCCTTGTCTGTGATTACAATGACCTGTTTCCCTCCTTGTTCTTGCTTCAAGTGAGCTCGGCCCTCGCTGTGCAGTGGAAGTTGGGGAAGAAGTTCCCCAGAGCTGTGCCTCTGTGCGGGGGCCGTGGGACTTGCCCCCATCCCCAGCCCCTGCCCAGCCTGGTGCCTGTTTCTGTGGGACCCTCTCCACCTGCCTCTCTCTCTGCCCTGTATGTGCTGCTTATAGGCACGGACCCAGAGGAGACCATTCTCCACGCCTTCAAAGTGTTCGACACTGAAGGAAAAGGTTTTGTCAAGGCCGATGTGTAAGTTTCCCCCTGACTGCCTTGGGTTTTCCTGCCTGCAAAGGCTCAGGGGAATAAGCCAGCTCTGGGCTGGGGTCAGGATTGGTGGCAGCCCAGTCTTCTCTCCCAAAAGCCAGGAGCTGGGGATCCAGCCCAGTGATATCGCTTGATGTCCCTTCCCCTCTCTGGGTCTTGGTGTCCCCTTCTCTGTGTGTGCATGGAAGTAGAAATGGATAAGAAGTGGTGGGTCAGGCTGGGCGCGGTGGCTCACGCCTGTAATCCCAACACTTTGGGAAGCCGAGGTGGGCAGATCACTTGAGACCAGGAGTTCTAGACCACCCTGGCCAACACAGCAAAACCCTGTCTCTACTGAAAAGTAAAAAAAAAAAAAAAATTAGCCAGGCATGGTGGTGTGCGCCTGTAATCCCAGCTACTCTGGTAGCTGAGGCAGGAAAATCGCTTAAACCCAGGAGGTGGAGGTTGCAGTGAGCCAAGATGGCGCCATTGCACTCCAGCCTGGGCGACAGAGTGAAACTCTGTCTCAAAAAAAAAAAAAAAAAAAAAGTGGTGGGTCACTCCAAGAGAGCTTCCTAGTGGGGTGGGTGTGGGGGCAAAGGCGGGCCTTGAAGGATGACTACGGGTTGCCCAGGCTAGGGCGGGAACAGCATTCTAGATGAGAGAATAGAGAGCTCGGAGGGCCAGGGCTTGGCGTGTGCATATTTGTTTGGAGTTGGCTGCAGTTGGAGGGTGTGGGTGGAGGTGGTATAGGGGAGACTGAGCACAGAGTGGCAGGTGGGGCCTGTTGGAGAGGCTCACACCCTAGCCCCTGGACTCTCCGTCTGCCCTGGGAGCGTGGGAGGACCTGAGGAGGAGTTAGGGAAGGACACCATGGAGGCCAGCCTGGAGAAGGAGAGGAGAGGGTTGCAGCTCCCAGGAGGGTCATGGCCGTCGAGACGGAGTCGGGCAGACAGATAAGCAAAGAGCCAGGGACCAGTGCCCATAGGATCCAGGGTCTGGGGAGAGGACTGAGCCAGATCGTAGCCAGCACTGCCTCGGGCAAGAGGGCAGTAAGGACTGGGGAAGGTGACCGGCTCACTTGGAATGTATGAAGGGAAAGTGGCTGCAGGCACTGGGGCTGCCATCGTGAGGGTAGGGGTGCCCCACCCAGTGACAACACGAGAGCAGAGAGCCAAGGATTGCAGGCGGGAGTGGGCGGGGGAGTGGCAGCCTTCCCAGGACCCAGGATTTAGGGCTGACCTCTGAGCTGTGCCCAGGCAGTCCCTTCAGAACCTTGCTGGACCTGAGGGTGGCCTGGGGCAGGTGAGATTCCTCCCCAGGCCCAGGCTTCCTGATCAATTACTGTAATGCTGCCGGCCTTCAGGTTTTGAGGCAAGTTTTGCTAGTTTTGAGATTCTCACATATGGAGCTGGAGGGGGGGGAGAGGGCAGATGCGGCAGGGGTGGAGGTGGAGAGGGTCTGTCCTGTTTCACACGTTCTCAACTCCAAGACCATGAGTCACATACTCCCCTGGGATGGGGAGGGGATGCTGAGGGTTGCTCCAGGCCACAGTCCTCCCCTTCACCCCTCCCTCGGGGTCTGTGGCTCCTACCTCCATCCTGGGGACCTGGGGAAGCATCAGAGGCATCCCTGGAGTGACACCGAGCCCTCCCTCTACTCTCAACCACCTTCGCTCTCAAGGACAAGGCTGGAAAGACCCTTTGGGGCCCTAATTTGGGAACTGAAGACACTGCCTTGGGACATGGGACCTGGATCTGTAGCTGCAGGCCAGGCAGGCCAGATGGGCCACGACGGAGGCTCTGGTTGAAACAGAGTCTGTGAAAAGTCCCCAGCCTGGAGAGCTGGAAACTGTGACTGGCCCACAGAAACATAAATAATGGAAAATGTGCATTGGTCCTTAGTGAGGTCTGCCGCAGCTGGTGCCAGAGTGGGTGGACGAGGCCCCGCTCAGCTGTCTGACACCATCCCTGCCCACTGAGCTCCCTTAAGAACCCTGCGGGACCCTCCAAACTTGAAGGGGCACCAGTCCCTTGCAGGCCCAAGAGGACACAGACCTGGACAGGCCTTCCTATACCCTTGGCAGAGCACAAGCATCTTGTCGTCTCTAAAGCGCTTTGCAGATGTCAGTGAACATCACAAGCTGGAGAAAACAGTGTGTCCAGAATCAGGCAAAAGAGGCTCTGCGGTGGGGGACCTGAGGTGTCTCCCCTCAATGATACAGAGCTTAGTTATAGTGCATGATGGGAAATCAGAGTAGCCCCCATGTTGGAGTCCCCAGGTCATTCCATTTGGTCCCCACTTGATGCTGGGAGGAAAGCCCACTTTATATAGAAAAAGAAACTGAGGTTCAGAGTGGCCCCCATGTTGGGGTCCCCAGGTCATTTCTTTTGGTCCCTACCTGATGCTGGGAGGAAAGCCCACTTCATGGAGGAGGAAACCGAGGTTCAGAGGCTACTGGGCCATTGGAGTAGCCTGGCCTCCTGAGCCAGGACATCCCCCTGCCCCCACTTGCCCTTCATCACCCCTGGGGTCTGCATGTTCAAGCTGGATATCCCTTTCCCTCAACATGACTGTGTCTTTCCCTTGAACAGCATCAAAGAAAAACTTATGACCCAGGCAGACCGCTTCAGTGAGGAGGAGGTAAATTGGGATTTTGGTGGATCACAGCAGATTCTCTGCTCTGGCTGCCACCTGGCCTGGTGCAGGCTGACTTTCTGCTCCTTCCCAGGTCAAGCAGATGTTTGCAGCGTTCCCCCCAGATGTGTGCGGCAACCTGGACTACAGAAACCTGTGCTACGTCATCACTCATGGTGAAGAGAAGGATTAGGGGATCACGAGTCTCCCCAGCGTTCAGGGGCAGCAAACACTGTTGCAGGGTGTGACGGGGAGCTCTTGCAACCGGCGGGTACAAGAAAAAGTGTTCCCTTGTCTATGGTTGGGGACAAAGCAAGAATAAATAATGCTAACGAGGTCTGAGTTTGTGCGGTAAATGCTCCAGTGAGGGAGAAAACGAAACATTCCTATCTTGTTGGTTTTTCCAAAACTTTTTTGTTTCTCTGGCTCTGCTCAAATGTTCCCGAGGAGCTGGTGTTTAGAGCTAATTGACAGTTTTAACGATTCCCAGCTAAGCCACAGGATATTGCCTTCATTTATGGAGCTTTTATTAAGCACCTAGTGCGTGCCAGAGGCTGTGCTGGTCCCAGGGATTCTCAGAAGAGCCAGGACTGTCCCTGGGCAGGAAGATGCTGCTGACTGCAGTGAGGGAGGCAGAGGAGGGGGCAAAAAGTGGGGTGGGGACATCGGTGGGAAGAGAACGGAGAAGCACGGGAGAAAACTGGCCGCAAAGAGCTGGCTAGAGGCGAAGACATCAGAAGGGAAGAGGTGGCTTCAAGGGATGTTTAGGGGGTAGGCAAGGATTTCTTAAAACGGGACACACATAGCTCTGACCATAAAAGTGGATACATTGGACTTCATCAAAATTAAAAACTTCTGGTCACCAAAAGATGCAATTAAGAAAGAAAAAAGGCACTGGGCCAGGAAACATACCGGCAACACATACATCGTGACAAGGATCTCATATCCACAGGATATATATATTTTTAAATTCTTCATATCTATAATAGAAAGATTATAACCCCAAAAAAGGTAGATGACAAGAATAATATTCAAATGGCCATAACGATCTGAAAAGAGGCCAGGCACAGTGGCTGAGACCTGTAGTCCCAGAACTTTGGGAGGCCGAGGCAGGAGGATTGCTTGACGCCAGGAGTTTGAGACCAGTCCAGCAACATAGCAAGACCCCATCTCTACAAAAAAAATAAAAATAAAAATAAAATAAAAATTAGCCTGGCATGGTGGTGCACGCCCATAGTCCCAGCTACTCAGGAGGCTGAGGTGGGAGGATCACTTGAGCCCAGGAGTTGGAGGCTGCAGTGAGCTGTGATCACACCACCGCACTCCAGCCTGGACGACAGCGAGACCCTGTCTGAATAAATAAATAATAGGGCACTCATACATGGGAATAGCACATGGCAATAAGAATAAACTATTGATGTACACAACAGCTTGGCTGATTGCTCATATATACTATGTTATATGGAAAAAGAGGCAAAAGAGTGCACACTTAAAAAAAAAACTTTTTTTTATTGAGATACAATTCACATACCATAAAACCCACTTTTTTTTTTTAAAGACAGTCTCACTCTGTTGCCCAAGTTGGAGTGCAGTGGCGTGATCTCGATTCACTGTAACCTCCGCCTCCTGGGTTCAAGCGATTCTCCTGCCTCAGCCTCCTAAGTAGCTGGGATTACAGGCACGTGCCACCATGCCCAGCCAACATTTGTATTTTTAGTAGAGATGGGGTTCTGCCATGTTGGCCAGGCTGGTCTCGAACTCCTGACCTCAGGTGATCCGCCCGCCTCGGCCTTCCAAAGTGCTGGGATTACAGGTGTGAGCCACCGCGCTCTGCCTTTTACCACTACTTATAAACAGAATATTAATCACCACAAAATGAAATTCATTAGTGATCACTCCTTATTCTTCCTGCATGCAGCCCCTGGCAACCATGAAGCTACTATTGCACGTCTCTATGGATTTGCCTGTTCCAGACATTCATATAAATAGAATCCTGCAATAGGTAGCCTTTTGTGTGTGGTGTCTTTCACTTAGCATAATATTTTCTTTTTTTTTTTTTTTTTGAGACAGAGTCTCGCTCTGCCGCCCAGGCTAGAGTGCAGTGGCGTGATCTTGGCTCACTGCAAGCTCCGCCTCCCGGGTTCACGCCATTCTCCTGCCTCAGCCTCCCGAGTAGCTGGGACTACAGGCGCCTGCCACCTCGCCCGGCTAGGTTTTTTTTTTGTATTTTTTAGTAGAGACGGGGTTTCACCGTGTCAGCCAGGATGGTCTCGATCTCCTGACCTCGTGATTCGCCCGTCTCGGCCTCCCAAAGTGCTGGGATTACAGGCTTGAGCCACCGCGCCCGGCCTAGCATAATATTTTCATGGTTCATCCTTGTTGTAGACTTTATTCCTTTATTTATTTATTTATTTATTTCTGAGACAGAGTTTCATTCTTATTGCCCAGACTGGAGTGCAATGGCACGATCTTGGCTCACCGCAACCTCCACCTCCTGGATTCAAGTGATTCTGCCACCTCAGCCTCCCAAGTAGCTGAGATTACAGGTGTGAGCCACCACGTCTGGTTAATTTTGTATTTTTAGTAGAGACGGGTTTTGTCACGTTGGTCAAGCTGGTCTCGAACTCCTGACCTCAGGTGATCCATCCACCTCAGCCTCCCAAATTCCTAGGATTACAGGCGTGAGCCACCGCACCTGGCTTCATTCCTTTATATAGCCAGATAAGATTCCATTTTATGGATAGATCACATTTTGTTTATTCATCAGTTGATGCACATTTGAGATATTTCTGTTAGCTCTTATGGATAATACAACTATGAACATTTGTGTACAAGTTTTTGTATAAATATATGTTTTCAATTCTCTTAGGCATATACCTAGGAGTGAAATTACTGGGTCACATGGTAACTCTATATTTAACCTTCTGAGGAATTGCCAAATTACTTTTCAAAAAGGTTATACCATTTTGTATTCCCACCAGTGATGTACAAGGGTTTCAATTTTTTCACATCCTTGCCAATACTTGTTATTTTCTGTTTTGTGTGTTTTTTTTTTTTCAAAACTATAACAATCTTAGTGGGTATGAAATGGTATTTCATTTGGGTTTTGATTTGCATTTCTCTAATGGATAATGATATTGAGCATCTTATGTTTTTATTGGTCATTTGTATCTCTTCTTGGGAGAAATCTGTTCAGGTTCATTGCCCATTTTAAAATTGTGTTACACTTTTTTTGTTGCTGAGTTATAGAAGTTCTTTATATATTCTACATACTAGATATTTTTATTTTAATTTATTTGTCTATTTATTTATTTTTGAGACAGGGTCTCACTCGGTCACCCAGGCTGGAGTGCAGTGGTACCATCACAGCTCACTGCAGCCTCAATCTCCCGGGCTTAAGTGATCCTCCCACCTCAGCCTCCCCAGTAGCTGGGACTATAAGCATGAGCCACCACACCTGGTTAATTTTTTTTTTTTTTTTTTAGGAGAGCTGCCCAGGCTGGTCTTGAACTCCCAGGTTCAACCAATCCTCCCACCTTGGCTTCCCAAAATGCTGGGATTACGGGCATGAGCCCACCATGCCCAGCCTGGACCCTTTCAGACATGTGATTTGCAAATATTTTCTCTCATTCTGTGGGATGTCTTTCTACTCTCTTGATAGTGCCCTTTGATGTGCAACAGTTTTAAATTTTGATGAAGTCTGTTTTAGCTATTTCTGCTTGTGCTTTGGGTGTTATATCTAAGACACTGTTGGACAGATGCTGTGGCTCATGACTGTAACCCCGGCCCTCTGGGAGGCCGAGGCAGGCAGATCACTTGAGGTCAGAAATTTGAGACCAGCCTGGCCAACATGACCAAACATCATCTCTACTAAAAATACAAAAAACTAGCCGGGTGTGGTGGCGCACAACCGTAGTCCCAGCTATTTGGGAGGTTGAGGCAGGAGAATCACTTGAGCCCAGGAGTTCAAGGCTATAGTGAGCTGTGATTGCACCACTGCGTTTCAGCTTAGGTGGCAGAGAGAGACCATGAGACCCTGTCTCAACAAAAAAAGGGAAAAGAAATAAAGAAAAGAAAAGAAAAGAAAGGAAAGAAAAGGAAGAAAGAAGGAAGGGAGGGAGGGAGGGAGGAAGAGAGGAAGGGAGGAAGGAAGGGAGGAAGGGAAGGGAAGGGAGAAAGAGAGAGAGAGAGAAAGGAAGAAGAAGAAGGAGAAGAAGAAGGAGGAGGAGGAGGAGGAGAGAGAAGAGAAGAAAGAAAGAAAGAGAGAAAGAAAGAAAAGAGAAAGAAAGAAAGAAAGAAAGAAAGAAAGAAAGAAAGAAAGAAAGAAAGAGAGAGAGAGAAAGAAAGAGGAAGGAAGAAAGAAGAAAAGAGGGAGGGAAGGAAGGAAGAAAGGAAAGGAAAGAAAGGGAAGAAAGAAAGAAGAACCAAGTGTTTAAGGAAGAGAAGAGCAGGTCTAAGGTGTGATCTTGGAATAGGGTGGCTGAGGTTGGGGGAGGAGGTCCCTGGAGCCAAGGATTGGAGGCTGTGGGTTGAGGAGTAGAATTCAGACCCTGAGAGGCCAGGAGGAAGGAGGCCAAGGAGGGTGGCATGTTGGACCCTGCTGATGGCCAGCCCTGGTTTTGACAGTAGCTGCTTAACCACAGGGGCCACACTCCCCGACCCCTCGGCCATAGTGAAAGGTCTCCCCTCCTCTTCCCCCACTGCTGAGCTCCTGTTCCCTCTGTGGGAGGCAGGAGAGAGAAGCACCACCATCCGTCTGGAGCTCTGGGCTCAGGACACAGGGGACAGGTATGTGGCAGAGGAGCTCCTCCCTCCACCCCAAGCCTGGCTCCGCTTGCTCTCCAAGACTTTGACTTTCCTGGAAATCATGGACCGAGCCTTGTCTCTGCTGCTGAGGAACTTGTCAGACCTGTTTGTGCCCCGCAGAACCAAGCCAGAGCCAAGGCACCGCAGGCCACAGGTATCTGCTTGCCAGCTGCACCCTGCCGCTAGGCCTGCCCACCTGCAGGAGCCCAGCTCCTCCAAGACACAGGGCCAGCCAGCAGGGAAGGCCAGAGGGGCTCCATGTCAGCTCAGAGAGGAGGCCAGGGGCATTCATCTCATTCATTCCTCTGTCCTCGGTGCCTCCACTTGTCTATACCTCCTCTGTACCAGTGCTCAGAGACGGTGATCAATAACACCAGTAGTACCTCACCTCTGCCCTCAACCGTCTCTGGCTGGGAGATACCAGGGTTGGGTTAGGCTATAGGCATGGGAGTGATGAGGCTCCAGTGGGGCCCCAGAGAAAAGAAAAGCAGGGGGCCTCTCAGAAGGCACAAGCCAGCTCTGTGGCTGCTGGTGGC